GGTAGCCTTCTGCCATGGGGCCGAAGGCCGCCCTTTGCGTATTGTGGGATGCTTAGATCTCCATTTTGCTGGGCTTGGCCCGTTTCGGCCTGTTGAGGCTGATTGCAGTAGTGGAAGTATGTGGGCCGGAGTGTCCCAGACCATATACTCCATCATCGTTATCTCAGGAATGCATTGATGAACCTCTTCGGAAGGGGGGGGGGGTATTTATAGACCTCCCCGTAACGGTCACTACACGTGGCAACCTCCCATTGGCCACATGAATGGCCACCACCCCTAAGGCCCATTGGGCTGGCACCGGTTTAGAAGACGGGTCAGGCCCACTTCAACAATACCAGGTCATCGCCAACAGGCCAACCACTCAACGGCCACGCTAAGAAATCGTGCCTGCATCGGCCTCAACACAAAGATACTTCAAAAGGGTAGGTCACATCTCAAGGTGTGTCCATATCGGCTTGAACAGAATGCCAATTGCATGGCCTTTTCAACGGCCACAACGGTAAAAGCAAAAAGAAACCCCACGCCATCGGCCTTGTGTAAAACCCTGATGATAATTTCTTGAAAGCGACCTGTGTCCAAGGGTTCTCCCACAGGGTTACCTTGGTCAGGTGTAAGGAATAAATGTATTTAGATTTTGATGATGCTAGGTTAATTAGAATTTGAAAGTACCCCATTAGAAATTTTGAATTAGAATTTCTTTTGTAAGTTTCTGCTTAGTCTGTCTGCCAGAGAACCTCTTTGCTTCTACCAGAGTTGCTCCCAGACTTGCTCCCAGAGTTGCTCCCAGAGTTGCTCACCAGAGAAGCCATCAGAAACTGGTCATCAGTGTTGATACCAGAGTTGGCAACAGAGGCGGACCTCAGAGATTGAACCAGAGAGCCTCATAAGATTCTGCTAAACACACCAGATTCCGAAAGCACTTTCCAACGGTCGTTAAACTAACGGGAAATCCCCTAACGGTTACGAACCTTTCAACGGAAACATGGTACTGTACACGCATTAAATGCACATTTAATGCTGTACGTACGAAGAGACATTTAAAGCTGATGATTGACCATGCGGGTATCTTCACGCTCCCAAAATAGCAAGTCGAAGGTCCAACCGGTCAAGTCAACAGTACAAGCATTTAATGAAGCTGTCTTCTACACTCCAACTGGAAGACTGCTCCCAGTATATAAGATACACTCTGAAGAACTATGGGAACAACTTTGCTACAACATCTGCAAAACGAACTTGCTCAAAGCCTTCTTGAGATTCAAACTTCATTCTTAACAAGAAAAGGCTATAGTTGGAAGATACATTTTCTAATCCCTCATCCAACTAGCAAGTTGCAAAGTTACTCAGTTCTTCAACACTTCGAAAACTTCATCTACTCATCCTTTGTGAAGAAGCCACGTTGGAGAAAACTGATTTTGAATCAAACACTTCTTGAAAAAGAAGGGACGTCTCAAACTAGCTGGAGTAAGTGAAGTGGGAATACTTCAAGAGACTCAGTGAAACGAGACCAGCCATCAGGAAGCAGGACTGCATCCCGGGTGGCAACTAGACTTGAAGAAGACGAGGAGTGCTTCTTAAGTTCTAGGGACTAAGGCGTTGTAAACTGTTGTTTTTGCAAGCTTAGTGGAACAGTGGACTAGAGGAACAAGTTGTTCCTTGAACCACTATAAAAACCCCGGTGTCATTTACTTTAAGCTTTTAATTCCCGCACTTAAGATTCTACTGATTAACTCTTAAGGTTGGACTCTGTGCCCAGCAGATCTTCCTTCAGAGTTATCAGAAAGGCATTTTGCCTTAGCTTTCTCCCTTGAGGCTACCCGAACAGAAACTTATCCGCTGCCTGGTCTAGTTCTGCCATCAGAACCTGACCATCTCTGTCACCAGATTTTGACCATCTCTGATAAGTCAGTTTTGACTTAGAGAAAAGTTTAAATTCCTGAACAGTCTATTCACCCCCCCCCCCTCTAGACTGTTCCCATTACAAACGGGACCAACATCAGGAAATCGCCAAGGAAATCGATTCAGGGGAATACAAGAGTCCGCTTCGGCCAGGGCAAATCCTTTACTCCTTCATCCCTCACCTACTCTTCGGCCTGAAGCAGTGGGGGACAGGGGGACTGCACCGGCCTTTGAAAGTCAGGACAAAATCAAATAAATCCAAAAATATACCAAGTCCACAACTACAAACATTAGATCACATACGCACCACAACGTCCATAACCTTGTGGTGCACCGTCGGCCGCAGCAAAGCTAGCGAACAAAGAATTCCCTCCAAAAGTGCAACACTTGAGATCACAGGGCACTTACCGGCTTTGAGACCACATACACCGCTTCGGCTAAAAAACACAGAACGCAGTCAACGGCTAAAGGAAGCAAACAACACCCTCACCGGCCACTCGGAAACAAAAGGACACTCATCGTCCTCGAACAGGGGACAACCACAAGGGCCTCCTCGGCCCAAAGTGCGAAGTTCAGCCACCAACTGTCAGGAGTGGGCATGACCTTCATCGGCCCTTCATGACAGAGGACGCTCATCGTCCCCACCAAGCGGCCAGAACGCTGAGTACCCACGACGGCCAAAAGACACGGAGCCAGGTCAAGGGGTGCCCATAACGGCTAAAAACAAGGAAGAATCCCTTAACAGCTAGAAAAAGTCAAAACTATGGAATCTACTCTCCCTCACTTCGTCTACGTCTCAGCTCAGAGAGTGGGGGACTCCTGATGGAGTATATGGGCATGGACCCCATGGCCCACATACTCGGAAGAACAAAAGGTACCACGATCACCTGGTGGGACCCCTGTCGGCCAGATGACCCTCATCGGCCAGAAAGAAGTCTACTCAGAATGTGATCCAGAAGCCAGGAAGAGCCGGGTGACCTCGTCGGCCGGGTCTTCGTCGGCCACGCCCTCGTCGTCCGTGCCCTCTGTAACACCCCGGCCTTGTAGGCCCCGAGGTAGTTACTTCTGACCACTAGTACTGTCCTCACAAACTGCCACTAGCCTTTTCCGCGCACTTTGTCCTCACTCGTGCGCGCCCTGAGAAACTTCCCAGGGGGTCACCCATCCCAAGACTACTCCCGTGCAAGCACGCTTAACTTTGGAGTTCTTGGGTGATGAGCTCCCTTAAAAGGAGATGCACCTCTGTTGGTATGAGTAGTACTATTAATCCTCTTAAATTAATCTCGGGTATTACAATCACCCCCACTTAGGATCGCAACGTCCTCGTTGTGCCCTTAAACCAATCTCAATCAACCCCCAGAATCTTGCCCCGCTAAGTGACCGCCCGATATCCAACGGGTCAGCACACTATCGCAGGGTTGCTCTGATACCACCTGTAACACCCCGGCCCCGTAGGCCCCGAGGTAGTTACTTCTGACTCTCTCCGGACCTCTAGTACTGTCCTCACAAACTGCCACTAGCCTTTTCCGCGCACTTTGTCCTCACTCGTGCGCGCCCTGAGAAACTTCCCAGGGGATCGCCCATCCCAAGACTACTCCCGTGCAAGCACGCTTAACTTTGGAGTTCTTGGGTGATGAGCTCCCTTAAAAGGAGATGCACATCTGTTGGTATGAGTAGTACTATTAATCCTCTTAAATTAATCTCGGGTATTACACCCTCATCGGCCACAGATGACCTCCAAAATATGACTTTACACTTAATCTTTTCTATGTACTTTGTATCCGGCCCATTAGTGGCCCTGTTGTAAATGGGCCTCCCAAGCCCAAGACTTGGGAGCTCATCCCTAATTTTTCCTATAAATACTCCCTCTGGGAGTAGTTGTAGGGGTTCACAAATTCATTAATACAGAGCAAATATAGAACTTCTCTCTCTAGCTCTCCCTTGTCTCTAGACTTATAGTCTATCAAAAATCATTTGCATCCAATGGGTCCAACCCCAACAGGCAAGTCAACCAAGTTCCATACTTGATTGATACACATCGAGTCCATTTTAGATTTCATGGCTTCTCGCCACCTCTCTGAATCAACATCTAATAATGATCTAATATTGCTTCTATGTAGGTCTCAGGTTCATCCTTATCAGGAATCTCAACATCATCATGATCCTCCATGAGGAAGCCAAACCTAGTTAGTTCATGATGAATCATAATAGACCCACAGAGTTGAATGTTTTGCGTTTTGTTTAGGCTGTTCATTCTGATCGTGAAGAGGTTCTCTTTCATTGGACTATCCAATGCTCAGAGAGTTTTCTGGTGATATACTTAGAGAGGGAGAGTTAGGTGCAGAAGGAATGACAACCATGCCATTACTTTCTTCATAAGAATCACTTGCCGGTGCGAAGCGCTTCCTATATTACTCCCACTAGCTGAAGGATATCTTCATAGAGAGATTCTTCAACTTAATTCTCCCACTGAATTCTTTGTTAGAAAATCTAACAAATCTTCATTCTCTATGTTACTTCAGCTTTCAATTTGATTAATGCACATTTCTTTACATATGTAGGGCAACCCATATTTAATATGTGAAGAAAATGTCTTTTATTATACTATAACTCATATAGTACGTTTTGCACTAATCAAACTATTCATAATGCATATTGAGATTTATAGCGTGTACCCTCAAAGAATGTTTGGAAGAGAAAATGAATTCATCATAGATCTAGCCATGTCTAACAAAGCCCTATTTCTCTTTGTAGAAACGCCAGACTTCTAAGGTGTTCTGGAGGAGTTCATTTTGACCGAATTCTTTGACCTTTTAAATGAATCAGAAATTTTACTTAAGTACTCTTTGGTTTGCTATCTTTTTCCTAGAAAAGATTTATTAGTCAAGTTACTTGAAAGACAAGATTCAAAATGGTGTTAAATAATCTAATTTATTTAACGTTGTTATTCTTGTTTCATTAATTTGACCAAGTTTGCAATGTCATAGATAGGTAGTAATTTTTCTGATTACTTAATCGAGATCCTTTTATTTTATTCATTTAATATCTAATATGTCGATTGATAATTAACCATTCATAAGAAAAGCATTTCCACAACAACACCATTTTACGAAAATAACAATTATTATTAGCAAAATGGAAACAGAAATCTTTTAATGTCTAACATATGAATGGAAATAATCTTCTTGGTAATAGAAGGAATAAAATAAAAATTATTTAACTCTAATCTAAAATCACTAGGCAAATCTAAACTATAAGATCCTATCACGTTCAGCAGCAACTTTTGCTCCAGCCTTCACGCGTAGGTCAATTTTACCCAGTCCAACTGCTACACTGCTTCTCAGGCTTCTGAACATTTTTACAAATGTGTAAGCCATAAGTTGTATCTAATACTTTAACCCTGAGCTTGAAGCACCCGATGCTTTGGCTAGATTAGCCTTATACAGCTCACAATCTCTCTTCCAATGCCCCTTCTCTTTGCAGTAGAGACAAACATCCTTTGCAACCTTTGGCTTCATATGACCTCCACCTTTAGGCTTCAGAGCTGTAGGAGTAGGTCCAACCTTACCTTTCTTCTTTTGCTTATTCTTGTTCTTAGAACGAGACTTAGCATTGGAGCTTACCATAAGAACATTCTTTCCTTTAGAGGTTGAGGCTTCATAAGACTTGAGCATTTATGGAGTTCAGGCATGATCGCTTTTGTTTTGTTCAAATTATAATTCACAATGAAGTTAGTAAATGAACTTGGAAGCGAATATAGGATGATAGCAGCTGAGACACGATCCTCAAACTTAATTCCGGTGGTAGCAACTCTTTCAATTAAGCCAATCATTTTGAGAACGTGCTCAGACACGTTGCCACCCTCTTGAAGCCTACACTTGAAAATGTGTGTCAGAAGTTCATATATCACATTTAATAACTTTTTAAGATCTTTCCAATGGTATAAATATTCATTTCTAGCTGGATTTTTTTAAAATTTTTTATATACAATATTGGTACTGTGACACCGCTCCCAGTTTGAACTGGGATTAATTAATCCATTAATATTAAAATCCAATAGAAATTTCAAATACCAATGTCGATGAGGATGACTAGTTGAGTTCGTGAATATTTATTCATTTGAAAACTAGTTACAAAAATATTAATCATATGAGAAATGATTAATTGATTAAATTAATACCGATTAATTATATTGTGTGTCGAACCCTAAAGAAAATGGGGAGGGACTAACTAGTACATTCTTGGACCACGTTAAATTAGTTAAAAGCCCAAGGATAAGGAAATAAGTTATATACAAATGTTTGGGCCGGATAAAAGGTAAAGGAATAAAATAAAGGGACTTTTCGAGCCACTTTCTAATAATAGGAAGGTAAAGGGGTTTAAGCCCGGAACATTGGAGAGGAATATCCAATACATTTTAGGATCGATCTATTGAGGTCTACTAGCCTAAAATAATATAAGTAAACGAATAAAAGTCATTTGGGTTGGAGTAAATTAAAAAGAGCAGCCCGCGAACCTGACCCAACTAAATTGCTCCAACCTTCTAAAAATAGAAGATAAGGGAGGAGAGTCTCCTTATCCTCTCATTTAGAGAAGCCTCCTACGTCACTTAGAGAGGGAAGAGAGCTCACATGGAGCTTCACACGTTCTTGGAGCAAGGGAGGAGAAAGAGAGGGATTCCAGGAAGAAGAGAGCTCATTTCTAGGTAACCGAATGCTATTCCCGTCCAACTAGTTATTTAATATATTAGTGAATATGATTTTGAAGAAATCATATGTTGGGTTAATGGGGATGTTCTACACGTTTAAAAGTGTAGAAATATGTTATAAAGTGTTGGTATTTAACTTAGAAGAGTTGTGGAATCGATAGGAATCGAAATCGCCGGAAACCACCATCGCTAGGAGCTGTTTTCGTGCTGCAGGGCCCGAAAGCCGGGCAGCTTTTGCAAAAGCCGGGCGGCTTTTGCCCTCTGCCAGCCAAGCCCATTTCGGATCATTCCCGATCAAAGGTTTAACGATGGAGCTTCAATAGGGAGGCCTGCTGGACATATTTAAGGTGAGGATGACTGACTATATTGTTTATAATTAGTGAGTTAATTTCATAAGATTACCTAAAGTTGTTAAATGTGATTTTCATGGATTATTAATGATTAATAATGCCTAAATGAAAATACTATTATTTATGAGTAAATGAAGCATGATGTACAAATTTGGGAGAAATTGTGTATGATTATGTGATATGAAAGTGATGGCATGATAATGGAATTAACTATGAAAATATTGTGATAAAATATACTTTTACTTCATGTATAGAATTCATGAATGGATAAAAGTGATATTCTTGATATTGAGATTAAATTGTATTTGGATTGGAAAATCAATTGGAATGAAATGTTGATTATGAATTAAGAACTTGGTTGTTCTAAGATTATCCGACTAGTATTGAAATACTAGTCGGGAGATTGAGATAAATAAATGATGGAATTAATCCTAAGAGATAGGATTGTGAATAGAGATGCCTTAAGTAGTCCTAAGAGATACTTAAGGGTCGGAATGTATGAGCTCTAAGATATGTTAGGAGTAGGCCTTAAAGGCTACTCAAGGTAAAATGATTCTAGGCATAGAATTGGCTTAGGAATCGAATAACTTAACTAAGAGCGATGCTCTAACAAATGTAGATTGACTAAGAGTGAGGCTCTAGCATAAATGTAGATTGACTAAGAGCGAGACTCTAGCCTAATGTAGATGACTAAGAGCGAGGCTCTAGCACAAATGTAGATTGACTAAGAGCGAGGCTCTAGCCAGATGTAGATGACTAAGAGCGAGACTCTAGCATAAATGTAGATTGACTAAGAGCGAGACTCTAGCCAGATGTAGATGACTAAGAGCGAGGCTCTAGTATGAAGGTAGGTTGACTAAGAGCGGGGCTCTAGCCTAATGTAGATGACTAAGAGCGAGGCTCTAGCATAAATGTAGATGGCTAAGAGCGAGGCTCTAGCACGGTATGATAATAAGATTGAGCGAGGCTCCATGATGGCTAAATAATGTAATTAAAAAATGCCCCATGACGGTAATATAATTTACCGAATGTTATAACAATCGTGACTAGTAGTCACGGGGAAATAGGGGTGGGCGTTTCAAAAACGAATATGGGCCACGGGCCGACTACTTGACTCTATATAAAGTAAGTATATTTTAAAAAAGAGGTAACCGAGGGTTATGGCCTATAATATAATACCACCCTAGATTGAGGGTCTTAGAAATTGAAACATTGATTATACTTAGTATAGTTGTCATTGTACTTGTCAAATGCTTCCAAGTACTGACATCCCCTTCACGGGGGAGATCACCTCACAATTTCAGGTAGGAGTTGAGCTTGCTACCAGTGCCCGTTGCTTCGGGAAGATCTAGGAGAGAAGACGTGATTCGTGCTTCCTCCGTTTCAGTTTCAAAACAATTATAATAATGCTCATGGATATTATTTTCAGAATAATTATTTTTGGGGGCTTGTATGCCTAATTATGCCAAGTGTGACTTGAACACTTGTATTAACTATTTTCCGCTGCTTTAAATGAATATTTTACATTATGTTTGTTTATGGATGTACTATGTGTGAATGGTATTCAAGACGCCTTGTATAGTATGGATGAGTTGGACTGCGGTTGACTATTTGTACTGTACGGTGGGTTGTTGACGTATCCGGGTAGGTCCGGGGCGTGACAATTTAATTGGTATCAGAGCCTTAGTCCGTAAACATCATAATGAAGCTTCAAAATTCTTTTTGAAAAATGAATTTGAAAACCATGAGCATAAGAAGTTATGTACTTATGGAACTTTTGGGACTTGAGTTGCAATGTCTCTATATGTTAAGATGGTACCCTTAACAATTGGTATGGCGGTGATTTGAGCCAAAGGATGTCTTTAAGTGCCTATCCGTCAGTTGACACTTGATACGAGTCTAAAGACTTATTCTCAATTTCTTTCAGAAATGGAACGTGCCAGAAAGGTAACTAGGAGGAACCCGACTGGCCGGACATCGGGAGGGTCCGAGCACGGAAGTAGAGGGGCTTCTAGTGTGTCCAGGGGACAGGGCCGTGCAGGCCACTCGCTGACCGTAAGTGACGGTCATGTTGAAACAGTGGACGAGCATTACGAGTCTGAGGAGGATTCAACTTACCGACCGGGGACTGATCCGGTTGAAACCCCATATGATGGGGAAGACGATGACGTTAGTGAAGAGAGTGATGATAGTGACGCTCTAGAAAGAATTGAGGAATTGCTCCGGCAATACCAACGAGATCGCCAAAGGCGCCGGGCAAGGCGTGCTTTGGGAGGGGCTTCGGGAAGAGGAAGCCGTGTGAGTCCTAGAGGACATGTTGAGTCCCGGGGAGGTAGAGGTGTTGAGGTCCCAATAATAAAGATCTCGAAATACCTCAAAGAAGCCAGAGAGTTGGGATGTAAATCGTTTGATGGAACGGGAGACATCTCTATTGCGGCCGAATGGATCAAGAGATTCAATGAAGCGGCCCTTGATATGCAGTTGCCTCCAAACATGAAGATTAGGGTGGAAACGAGACTGCTAGATGGAATGGCATCCACGTGGTGGGATGGAGTCAAGGGGAAGTACGGCGAGACCGCCACTTGGGAGGACTTTCGAAAGGAGTTCTTTAGTCAATACTATTCCGACTTCGAAGTGAACGTGAAGAGGAGGGAGTATACAAACTTGACTCAAGGAGGTGAATGCACCGTGAAAGAACTTGAGCCCAAATTTAGAAAACTTGCTGAGTTTATACCAGAGTACATCTGTGATGAGAACCGAATGGTGAACCACTTCTGGAATGCCTTGGACCTTGACATACGTGAGAGGGCAACACAATTGCCTAATATGACATTTAGTCAAATGGTTGAACAAGGTTTGAAGGGGGAAAAGGAGTGGGAAGAAAGAAAGATGAAAAACGCCGAAGAGGCGAAGAAGAGGAAGTGGGAAAACCACGGCCCCCAAGATTCTAGCAAAAGGGGGAACCACGGGGGAGGAGGATTTTTCAGAGCACCCGCACCACCATCTAGGAGAAATTCGAGCATGGGAGGACAACACTCGGGGTCACACGCCTCGACGACACCAAGGTGCCGAAATTGCAAGAAAAATCAAACGGGCACATGTCGTGATCCCCCTAGGTGCTACCAATGCTGGGAGGCGGGACATATGAGGATGGATTGCCCTCAACTTGGTGGAGATCGGGTATCGGGGCCGAGTAGTGATGCCGCGTTCCCATTCATAAAGAGAGTGGACGAGATCAGTCTTATTCAACAAAATCATCACGTAGGTCTGGACTCGATTCGGGCCACCCGACCTGGGAACCGGCCCAGCCCGCTACTGTGCGGGACCAGCCCGGTTCTTTAGGCTGAGCGGGGCGGGCTCGAGTAGTCGGGTTGGTAAAAAGGAGGCCGAGCCCGGTTCGGGCCAAATTGATTTTGTTTTGTTTTCTTCATTTTTTGGGCTCCACCCGGGTTGGGCTTGATGTTTAGGAGGAGTTTGGGGGGTCAGGGATAGGTAGGTAAGCAAAAAAAAAAAACAAGCACGAGGCCCAGCCCGGACCCGAGCCGGTCCCGGGTCTACCTATTCAGAACCGTCGGCCCAACCCGGACCCAACCCGGCCCAGCCCGACCCAAATCCACCCCTATCATCACGTAATAAGTCAACAAAGCCCAAAGTCAACGTGATATAGTACCGACGTGATATGTATATGTACATGTTTTCACTAGTTTAGAAAGGCAAATATTAGAGAGTAAAGAGGCATCATTTAAGGAGTTCAATAAGTTCTATAGAATAAAGTCCAAAATTTCAGGGAATCCAGAGTTCCAGACCTCAATGAGGACCTCCGAGCTGGCTAGGACTCCTAGGAGGCTATCCAGCCGTCCCTTGTAAGCTCCTGATGCTGGGAAGTAATCTCATGTTGTATACAACCTAAAAATCGGGTCGCCCGTTATTATTAATGTCAGGTAACAAATGAGTCACCTATCACATTCAAGAACACCTTTAGAAGAGACCTTTTAGGAGAGACAAACTCGGTGATGAGGGATACAAAACTAACAAAAATATCAGGCATTCAATGAGGCATCTCCTCTTCTGTATATATAACCAGGCAATGATATGCAAGCTGAATAAGTGGAACATCATTAGGGTACACGTACACCTTACGCATAACAACAACAACAACAACAAATAAAGATGGAGCCAGACAAAAACAAGGTTGATCATATACATCATCAACCTATACACCTCATATCCACAACTGGAGGGACCCACAAACATGTAAAATGCTCTCTGAATCCCAGATATATGTGTATAAATGGACTCCACACATCACTAGAGTATCAAGGGATAGGTTATCTAGCAATTTGGGCAGAGGTGGAGTCTTCTTTGTTTGACCAGCAGCTCTCTTTGATTCCACAGTAGGCCTGTAATGAACGCGTCATTGTCATGCTTTTCCCTTCGTTTTCTAAGAGTGTACAGTAGTTCTCGAATGTCTGCACACTCACTTGAAGTCTAAAATCAAGACCAAACAACAACTTCATCTCCAATCTATTCATTTCTGCAGTGCTCACACCACCCACCCTTGCATAATATGCGTTGTTGAAAAACCTGAAAATTAAAAACTGTGTATGTTTAGCACATCAGGGTGAAAAACATTTTACAATTCAGTCCTTGAAAAGCATTGCCTTTGATTGTAATGTCACCTCCCCGGTCATATTATTGCAGATATTATACAATGAGAGAGAGTTTGTGTCACTTGTGTGTGTGTGTGTGTGTGTGGCTGCGCCTGTATAAACACGCCAAAAACTAAACTAGTATTCACAATACATTTTATAAACCAGTACATGAGAAGAATGGAATATATTTCTAATATCATTAGGGGAACTATAATTTTCCAGACATTAGGCTAATTATAGACCAAAAGAGAGTGTGTTAGCACATGTTTTTGTTTGGTTATTCGCATACATAAACATGCCAACAACTTGAATAGTATTTACAAAATGCATCCTGTAAAGGAAATGAATTGATTGATGTTAGCATAAGTTTAATCCATGGACCAGCAATTTCAGAATGTCCAACACAATATACATTTAACACATGAATAAACGTTCTGCCCAAATAAAAGACAAAAAAGGGGATTCACACGTTAAATCCTATAATAACTTCTTATTGGATTGCAAACTTTTTTAAAGCGAAAAACGGCCAAAAGCGATGACCTTGAGCTTTGCTTAAAAGCGAAAGCGCTAAGCGAAGCGTAGCTTTCTCACAAAAAGCGATGCTTCAAAAAATAAAAGATAATTTATAATATAATGTATAATTATGCCAAAACTGGCGTGACCCTTAAACCATGCTCCCAAGCAGGATCCTGACTTTTAGATTGTTCTCCAGACATTTTTGTCTACAATTCTACATATACATGTTTCACAAAAAAACATAGGCTCTTTTAGTTTGCCAAAAAAAATAACGTAAATATTTTTAATGAGCTACAAGTTAACGACCTACAAACACTTAAATGTTTCAAATTAGTTGCCAAAAATAACCTATGTTTGAAAAAAAACATAGGCTCTTTTAGTTTGCCAAAAAAAACATACAGGATGTGTTGGAAGTAACTCAGACACTCGGTAAGTTATACAAACAGATTACAGGGCTCCAAGTTAAATGGGATAGAAACAGAGTTGGACAGGGTTAGATAAGCTGCGAATTCAGAGCTCCAAGTTAATAACGTAAACTGAAAATTTGAAGAAAGACGATGAAATAGAACCTGCGGTCCTGCGCAGCACCGGCGATAGTCTGGGAGAACCCTTCACCTGCGATTCGCGACTTGGAAACAGGGGTGGAGAACTCCTCTTCACCTGCGATTTCTTCAGGTACGCGGCTCTGCGCGATTGCGTGGAGGGCAGCTATGTCTGGAGGGGGATTTGGGAAAGAGTCGAACGACTCTTACGTATAACCCTATACGGTCCAAACGAGAAGCCTTTTTTTAAAATAAAAAAATTGACTGGTCAAGGTATCTACCGCTTTTTGTGAGAAGCCATGAAAAGCGATAGCTTTTCATTAAGCGAGCTCCATCAAAAGCGCTGGAAAAGCGACGCTTTCCCATTACCCGGCGCTTCTCAAAAGCCAGGCGCTCGCCTGCGCTTCGTCGCTTTTCAGCGCTTTTTAACGCTTTTGACAAGTTTGTTGGATTGTGCTTGATTAGATTAAGAACCAAACAATTACCTACTTTAGATGGTCGGTCAACACACAATAACTGCAGGATCCCATGACTACAGTACACTACAAGTATATGCATTATGTATATGAGCCAAGACCTATTATCCATCTCGTCCTTAAGAAATAGAGCTATATTAGGTCAAGATACAACTTTTAAAATTATGGCAAGGTAGAACTCTTATAATGGGAAGTCTATTTAATATCATCACATCCCCTGGTATCACATTCCATGGTATGTTAGCAGGGAATGTAGAAAAACTGAACTAAAAAGTCATATTTTTCTTTTGGAATCTCACAGTCACATTACATTGATGAAGATTACATTCATTGAGCCAAACGGCAACATATGATATTACCTTGGGTAATTTGAGATTCATGTCATAAGAGCATGATATGAACCCAACATTCCCCTAAAAGTCAGGGGTCCCTACTTTTTAAGTATTAATAGAGCTTATCACATTAAACTTGTTTGTAACAATTTTTTGGAAAATTTCATACAAAATTAGTCAAGTTTAATGAAATAGGATTGTTTTGGGACCTTAAAGCTTTTGACACATGATTCCATAATTTTGGACAGAGGGAGTAATAACTAAGGGCCTTTATTATAAAGAAGCATGTGTGTAAATGAAAGTATACAACAAGTAAATGGACTTCTCTAAGCGAGCCAAAATGAAAGTTACGAGGACATGTAAAGCAAAACTTACGCATCATCAATAAACTTTGCAGCCACCATTACACTTGTAATCAAAAGCCGATGAACATTAATGGAAGTCAAAGAGGAGCTGGTGCATTGGATGAATTTCTCCATATATATGTGTGCTACCACAAAGCAGGAGGGGCTACAACAGGCGTATTTGAAGATACGGTCCACGTATTGTTGAATGCTTAGAGCGGGGGCTCTTGAACCATGGAATACGGTAACGGGATTTTTGTCTGCTATACTTTTCATACACTTTTCGTTTTTCTTAACAGAACTCTCAAGAAGCATTGAAATAATAGAAAGGACTTGAGGTTTTCTTGATTTTCCCTTTCCAGATCCTTTGAGCCCAAGTCTCAAGTAATTCAAAGAATATGTTTCGGGTGCTAACATTTCCATTCTTGGTTATGCTGGAAGTAAATGGTGTAAAAGTCAGCATTTAATGGAGAAATGTGATAAAATTTCTAAATACTAGATTTTACGGATGAAGTATGGCAAAATAAAGAGTGAATACTAAAGTACTAATTATACCAAAACATTTATTGATGTGGCCTAATTCTAACTAACTGATATGCTGGCCAGCAATGAATACGAAATGTAGTAACAAGTGTCGCATTGCACACTCAATGAGTAGGTGGTTCACATAATTCTTTTCTAATAAAAACAGGTAATCTCTAACTAATTACTCCCTCAGTTCTTATTTAACTGTCCACATTAAAAAACACTTTTCCTATTTAATATCTTATTTGGGAAACAATGGAGCATTAATTACAAGTTTCCTAGTTACATCCTTAAAAACTAAATATAAACACGTTGGACAGCTTGTATGCCGTGCTATATACATGAGTGTAGAACTAAAGATTTGGTAAAACGAAATATGTTGTGATTAGTTAAACAAAATCTAGTTAACTGTCTTAATAACTTGCTTTAGATTAGGTGGAGAGATGGATAACAACAGATGGAGTAATTAAAAACAGAAATTAAGAACATGTTAACATTGATCGTTTCACCTTCAACCAGTAAAATAGTTCTTTCAAAATACTCTTTCCGAACTGTGCTGAAGAAGCAAATTCATATAACACACTCATACTTTCATTAACTACTTCAAATTTCACGTTGAAACACCCTTTCACTAAAGGGGACAAAGTTCTTGATATTTACTCTATAAGAATGATGTATGTACTTCAAGAATCAAGAGGGTGAGGAGACATGATTATTGAGTAGTTTTTTATCCCCAAACTAAGCCAAAGGAGTCAATAAGGTCATAAACGAAGAGTTCAGCATGGTCATTACTCATTAGATGCTAAATAGTTAAAATCATAGATGTTGAGTTAAACCCATACAGTTCAGTGTTACTCAACTCCTCGTCTCCTTCTATTGAACCTAAGAACTTCTCATTCGAAATGAGAGATTAAGTGAAACTCCAAGAACAAATCTGGGAGGAATTCGATTAATATGTAAATACCCAATCCAGAAAAGGTCAAAACAGGGTTTTTGGCTTATATAGAAAAAGAAAACCCAGATTAGTCATTGCAAATACGAATGCCACACTAATACTACATTTCAACAAAAGTACAAGAAAACACAATGATGAAGAGCGTTTAACAAATCCATCAAGAAAACAAAAGACAAACGAGAAGGGAGCATACGTGGATGGTAACTCTTGTTCTTCAGAGATCCGGGCGCATTAATCTTCTGCAAATGCCTCAATGGCCAATGGGTGTAGACGCAGAGAGAGAGAGAGAATGGTGGGTATTCTCATTCCCCTCTCCCCCATCCAAAATGCTCAGCTTTAGGTCAAGAAGCTAATCTTACGTATGGGTATTGCCTATTTATTTAGGGTGTGCAATTATGCATACGCTTAGCTGTAAATGGTGATGAATCTGCCGATAGCCGTGACCTAGCTCACTGCGAATAAACTACAGGAAGATAAGCTGTCGGTGAGCTGAATATCTGACATTGCCGAGAGGGGAATTGGCGGGACGTGTTGAGAAAGGGTCCCGCACCTTCCTGTTCTCGCAATTTTAACCAACCTTCCACCGACAGCTTCACATCTCCCAAACTACGACGGCACACACGGAGGTGAAAGTTTTTAATACTCTTTTCCTGTTTTCACTTTTCGATGATAATAATAGAAGAAATTAGGAATGAACAAAAAATAAAATATACGTATTATGTACAATTGGAGTTAAGATAACCGATTGATTAAAATGTTTTTAAATTGGTATGTTTTTAGTAGTCCTTTTTACATTAATATTATTAAATTAAATTCAAAAGGTAAAAATATAATTTATTTTAAAACTTTTAGAAAAATGACATATTTAATGACTAGTTCACAGTGACTCATCATTCTAAAATACTACGTATACTACAGTGATTCGTTGATAGTGACTTGTACACGATGACCAATCATATTTTTGTCCAAAACCATAATTTGTCATATTTTTATTCGAAGAAACTGTAATACTTGTAATTGATTTCAAACGCGAGAGGTTAGTTTACGATTAATAATAATATGGTACGTGGTTATTTCGAATTGTACTATTTGATTATATATATTTTTTATTTTTTCTTATTGTTAAAAGTATAAATTTGTATCGTTTAATTTGTATATGTTGGTAAATGGTAATTACTATTTATATTTTCTATTTGTTATTATCTAACTTGCTATTAGATGTACAAAATTAAATGGACTTATTAGACAAACTCCGTAGTTAATTACTAAGAAGATACATAATTTATTGTTTAGTTTATTTACTTGTTTGTTTTACGAGATAATCATTTAGCTTGTTTGTTTGCTTGTTTCCGGAGGTAGACTTGTTAGAGTAGTTTATTTCGAGCAGCGGAGCCCGACCACTTTACGGTGGAGCCTGATCACCGTCAAAGCTAAAATTGAGGTTAGGGGTGGGCACGGTTGGGTAACCTATTTTGGTCAACCAATTTAGGGTTAACCGATATTTCGGTTAATATATTTATAACATTATTAACTGTACCGTAATAATGGTTAATCGAGTAATATTTAATCATGATATAGGTTAACCATTAATTGGTTAACCGAAAAATCGTCTTAGGCTAACTGCAACCCATCTCCGTCAATAAATTAAGTTTCCTACCAATTTATATGTATCCATTCAGTCAATTCAATTTTTACTGCAATCTAGCACCGTCAATATATCCATTCAACAATTTTTTAATTAAAACCTTACTTTTATTATTATGCATCAAATTTTTCCAATTTTCTTTTTAAAAATGATTGTGATTTAAAAAGTCAAACATTCCAATGTAAAAAGAGTAAAATTGAGAAAAAAATAGAAAGATCTAAAAAAATATTTTAGTCATCAGACTCAATCTTAGCACTTAAAAGTTATTCTAAGAAAAAAATTCTGAAATATATCTTAATTTTCTTAAAAAATATATTTAAGAAAAATTTGAGTTTAAATACCGCCAACAGTTAAAAGTTATTTTTTTAATTTATATATGTGATATTGGTGTCATATGAAAGAGAATTAAAAATTATGAATTTTGATATATCATTTATAAACGATGAATAAAAATAAAAAAGCTATAATACTCTAAATAAAATTGGGGTTTATAATTTGAATGTGTCCACTCATATTTCTTCGTACGTGAACACCCCAGCTAGCTTCTCTCCCCCGTCAATATCCTCTTTAATTCCCACTTCAAGAATTTTTTTTAATTCCCACTTCAAGGGTAGCACCAATCCATTTTAGCCTCCTCAATACATTGGGTTGAGCATTTTTAGGAGTGAAAAGTGTAAATAAAGCTTTTTCATGGATGGATTGCGGACAGCCTTAGCCTCTTAGGAAACTGTTAAGAGACGCAAATTATACTGTGGGATCGGCCCACCTTCCACATGGTGTGTCGATCTCACTTTAGGCAAGTTCTTTTTCTTTTCTTTCTTCTTGGAATAACGTAAATCCCTTTTCCATTGCTTTTCTCTTTATTTTTCTTTTGTTCATCAATTCTTTTCTTTTTCCATCAAATTAAAATACTAAAAATTTAATGGCAATCATACTTTTCTTTATCTTCATCTTAAATTATAATTGAATCTATGTTTTTTTATTCTTTAACAATGCATAACAAAAAGTTTATTAATCTAAATAAAATAAGTATATTGCAATTAATATTCATACACTATTTTTGTTTTTGTATTAATTTTTATATGCATATACTTTTTTGTAATATACTTTTTATATTCATACACTTTTTTGTTATATTTTATATGGAGAAACTTTTTCTATAATATAACTTTTTTATCACTTTTATATATTTTTAGAGGTTTTTAAGACATTGAGTTTGTTTATTTTGATTTTTGAAGTTACATTTGATATCATATCATGAAGTTATATCTTCTTCCGCGCGAGTTACATCTTATTGTACACGAGTTACATCTTAATATACGCGAGTTACATCTTAGTGTATGTGAGTTACACCACGGAAAAAACCTCTGTTATATCATTTTTATAGCCCTAATATTAAACATAAAACATATTCACTATTTAAAAAAAGTAATTAAGCTATTAGGATCAACTTTTCATTGTTTTCATTTAAATCAATGTTTATGACATATATATTATTCTTAAACACACACACACAAAAAATGTTCAATTTTTCAACAAGTTACATTCTGTATACATCTAAGTTATATTTGTCATCAACACGAGTTACATTTGTAATAACATGAGTTACATTAAAAAATTAACCTCTGCTATTGAAACAAAAAAAAAATTAAAAACATTTTTTTTTATGGTAATGATATTAAAAATAAAACATATTCACAATTTACGTAAAGCAATTGTGAAATTAGACTCTTTTCTTTCATTGTTTACATTGAAATCAAGCTTGTATTTCTAATACTATGTATTTGACAAGTTACATTTCGAATGCACTTGAGTTACATTAATCAATAACGTAAGTTACATATCTTTACTCGCGAGTTACACCATTCATGCTACTGGGACAAAAAGAAAGAAAAAACAGTTACTGTACACGCGTGTACTGTTCACGCGTGTATTGTTTATGCGATATTTTTAAAAAAAAATTGGGTAAAGTTACGTCGTTTTGAAAGTGGAGCACCATGATCACCGTGAGATGATCCCACGGTATACGAACTGGTTAAGAGATACTAACGACCTGGGTGGTTGGGTTCCATCTTATTGTATGTGCATAGTATACGTACCAAATTAATACACTTCATATTTGTTTTCAATTATTAATTCATTTAGAAACTCTAGGTAATCCTTGTAGATAACCACTACCTGATCAAGTAGTTGTTTAGTTGTTGCTAGGCTTACACATTTCACGCACAGCCAATTCCTCGGCCAATGGCTTGTATTAATATTCCAGTAAATCAATTAAATAATCATGGATTGATACTTCAATTTATATCACTAGTAGAAAACTGGCTTACAGTGACACTTTTATAATGACTGATAGACTATAAGTCTAGAGAAAAGTGAGAGCTAGAGAGAGTAGTATAATTATTTTGTATTAATGAATTATGAACCCTTTACATGGCTCCCAAGGGGAGTATTTATAGAGGAAATTAGGGCCGGGCTCCCAAATCTTGGGCTTAGGAGGCCCATTTACAATTGGGCCACTACTGGGCCGAGTACAAAGAGTGTAAAAATAACTAAGTATGAAATCCGATTCTGGGAGTTCTCTGTGGCCGAAGGAGGTTCGGCCGAAGGATGCGCCTGGCCGATGGAGACACGGCCGATGGAGGACCATCCGAGCTGATTGCTCCCTGGGCCATATTCTGGGCTGACTGTTGCTTGGCCAACGGGGGCGCCGACCGACGGAGGCGCCTGGCTGATGGAGACACGGCCGACGGAGGACCATCCGAGCTGATTGCTGCCTGGGCCATATTCTGAGCTGACTGTTGCTTGGCCGACGGGGGCGCCGACCGATGGAGGCACCGGCCGACGGGGGCGCCGACCGATGGAGGCACCGGCCGACGGAGGCACTAGCCGACGGGGGCACCGGCCGATGGAGGCACTGGCCGACGGGGGCACCGGCCGATGGAGGCACTGGCCGATGGGGGCACCGGCCGACGGAGGACAATTCTTTTCCTTGGCTTCTGGACCGTATTCTGGATCGACTCTTCTACGGCTGGTGGAGGGCCACTTGGCCGAAAGAGGACCCAGTGGGTGACAGCTGCGCTTCCTCTTAGTCTTCTCAGTATGTGGGTCATGGGGTCTGGACCCATATACTCCATCAGGAGTCCCCCACTCTCTGAGCTGAGGTGTAGACGAAGTGAAAGGGAGTAGATCCTTGTTGTTCTGACGCTTTGGCCGACAGAGGATTACCTGGGAATTGTAGTGTTCCTGGCCGAGGCGGTGCCATAATTGTTGGCTGCCTTGTCCTTCATTTTGAGGACGGTGAATGTTCTTCATTTCGAGGACGACGAATGCCCTTCATTTCGAGGACGATGAATGTCCTTCATTTCGAGGACGATGAATGTCCTTCATTTTGAGGACGATGAATGTCCTTCGTTTTGAGGACGATGAGGGTCCTTCATCTTGAGGATGATGGTTGTCCTTCATTTTGAGGACGACGAATGTCCTTCATTTTGAGGACGATGAATGTCCTTCGTTTTGAGGACGATGAGTGTCCTTCATCTTGAGGACGATGGATGTCCTTCACTTTGAGGACGATGAGCGTCCTTCGTTTCGAGGACGATGGATGTCCTTCACTTTGAGGACGATGAGGGTCCTGGACTAGAGGACATTGTGCGCCCTTGGCTCTGTGGACGAAGAATGTCCTGCCCTTGTTCTTTTGACTTTAGTTGATGGATCTTACGCTTGCGGACGTTCGTGGTGCGTTCGTTTTGTTCGTGATATGGACGATGAATGTCATAGTCCCGGAGACGATGTGTGCCATTGGCCTTGAGGACGAGGAGTGTCCTTGGCTTCGAGGACGATACGTGCCATTGATCTTTAGGACGATGTGTGTCCTTGACATTGAGGACGATGTGCGTCCTGCTTTGCGCTTCAGCATGGCCGAAGGGTGAACACATGGTTGTTGGACGTTGAGGTACCATTGTCATGGGCTTGTGTTCGTTGGTTTTTGAATTTGTTTATCTTTGCGCTGGAGGCCGATGTAGTCCCCTAGACCTTCTTCTGGCCGATGGAGACATGGCCGACGGAGGTACCACTTGGTAGTCCTTGCTTTTTGTTGCTTTCTGGATGATTTCATGTATGTGGAGGCCGATGTAGTCCCCCAGTCCCCCACTCCTCGAGGCTCATGTAGTGAGGTGAAGAGGAGTAGAGCAATACACGTCTTCAATAGGGGGCCGAGGGTTGACACCTTTTGATCCACAATGGGAAAAAATCCTAATGAGGGAAAAAGAGCACACTGGAACCCCCAAAATGAACTCCAAGGGGTGAACCCTTCGGCCTAGGTGTGGAGCTGCAGCGGTGTCCGTCTGCTGAGGGGACGCTCGCCTAGTGGTGAGGACGACAGCGCTGATGAGCCGGTCCGGATATGTGGACGAGGCGATAGATGCCTGTCTGAATATGAGGACGAAGGTGGTAATGAGCCATGCGTCATATGAAGGCGACAGTCGCTATCCAGGAAGGGAATGGCGAGCCCAGTCGCTATGTCAGTACCTCGGCGTTGGGAGCCGGTCTCGAGATATGAGGAAGACGGCACTGAGGGGTCGGTCCAAAATCCATGCAACGGTGGCCATCCGGTAAAGGAATCGCTAAGACCAGTCTTTGAGATGTGGGATCACGCAGAGGCTGGGAGACCGTTCGTGATCTGAGGATGAGGCGATGATGAAACTGTTCGTCAGGTAGAGACGACGGTCCCCATCCTGGAAGGGATGGAGAGCCCGATCATTGGCTCAAGACACTCGGCGCTGAGGAGGTCGGCCTTGAGATGAAGGATCACGTTGAGACCGAGGGGTCTGCCGTGAACTGAGGACGAGGGTGTTGATGAAGCCGCTCATCGCATGAAGGTGAGAGTCGCCATCCAGGAAGGGAATGGCGAGTCCGCTTGCTAGCTCAAGACCCTCGGCGCTGAGGAGGCCGGTCTTGAGATAGATAATCACGCCTTGTTCGAGGGGCCGGTCGTGATGTGGTGAAGGGCAAGGCATTGACGCCAAACTGAACATGACATTGGCGAAGCCGTTCTGATGATGAGGGACGGCGCTGGGCGCTCGTCTGAATGTGAGGGACAGCGATGGGCGCTCGTCGGAAGATGAGAGACGGCGCTGGGCGCTCGTCCTCTGATGACGATGGTGCTGGTGAAGCCGTTCGTCATATGAAAGACGACGTTGGACGCATGTCCTTTGATGACGACGGCGTTGATGAAGCCGCCCATCATATGAAGGACCCGGCTCTGACCCTGGCTTGAAGATGAAGGGCGGCGCTGGACGCACGTCCCTTGATGACGATGGCGTCGATGAAGCCGTACGTCATATGAAGGACCGGGCTTTGACGTCGGTCTGAAGATGAAGGACGGCGTTGATGAAGCCCATCATTTATTGAAGGATGGCGTTGGATGCCTGAAGATGAAGGACGGCGTTGGCAGCCCGTCCCCTTATGACGACGGCGTTGGCGTTGGTGAAGCCGTTCGTCACATGAAAGATGACGCTGGACGCACGTCCTTTGATGACGACGGCGTTGATGAAGCCGTACGTCTAGGGCTGAGCAAAACCGACCCTACCCGAAGAACCCGATCGGGTGACCCGATTTTTTGTTATTGGGTCGGTTGACCCGACCCGAACCCAGCGATCCGACCCGCCAACCCTATATTTTTTGGACCGACACCCAGCGGATAGGGTCCTCCCAATCCCTACCCGAACCGCCCGAAAACCCGACCAAGCCTAAGCCCATTACCCAACTCCCCAACTACCCAAGCCTATAAGGTCATTACCCAACTCCCCAAGCCCATTAGCCCACTCCCTTTCCCTTATCCCTATTTCCCTTCGCCGGTTAACCACTTAACCCTAGCTTACACTCTCAGACTCTCTCTCTCTAACTCTCTAAGCGGCTAACCCTAATTTGGTCTGACTTCTCACTTCGTCGGCCACCGTTGCCGTCGTTGTAAGGCTGTAGGCCTATAGTCCTCAACCGAGTGGAAGCCTTCATCTCCTTGTAGGGTTTACCGTCTCTACTCTCTAACCTAGTGGAAGCCTTTCATCTCCTTCGTCTCGAGCCGTTGAGGTATAAAATACTTATTCCGTTATTCGTATTATGGTAAGTTTAGTCCTTGATGATGCATGGATGTTCTGAGTTGTGATTAGTCTTGTGATGTTCGTATATTTGTGAAAGTTGCATGTACAGATCTGTTCGAATGTTCGGTTATCCAGTTGTCCCTGTTAATTGTTGATGTATATTATGATGCATTCAGAATTTCAAATTTGTTTATTTGAAATATGAATGAAATGTGGAAGCTAATCAAGTTATATATTCTATATTCATGTGTTGCCTACTGAGTACTGACTACTGTGTCAGATGTCAGATGTCAGAGGATAAATTACATGTGCATTACTGCTCATTTCATAGATCATCAGTGGAAGCTCCAGAAAAAAATAATTTCCTTTGTCCCTGTCACCTCTCACAAAGGGGAGTACCTTGCTAAAGCCCTAGAGAATTGCTTACTTGATTGGGGTCTGAAAAGTATTTTTACTGTGACTGTTGATAATGCTAGTAGTAATGATACAGCTGTTGGGTTTTTCAAGAAAAAATTAGTAGCCTGGGGTGCTTCTTCTGTAAAAGTAAAGTATGTTCATATGTGTTGCATTGTACACATCTTGAACTTAGCAGTACAAGATGGTCTTAAAGATCCAGACACTTCAGTCATGAGAGTTAGGGAAGCTGTTAAGTATGTTAGGAACTCACCTGTTAGGCTTCAAAAGTTCAAAGATATATCTGATTTGATAGGAGTGGAAGCCAAGAGTGGTCTGCACCTGGATGTTCGAACTAGGTGGAATTCCACTTACCTGATGCTAAAATCTGCAGTTTGTAATGAGAAAGTGTTTGAAGCCTATGAGGAGAATGAATCTGCATATAGTACTGATTTGGGTTCTGACATGCCTAATGTTTTAGATTGGATTGATGTTGAATCTTTTGTGACCATTTTAAAATATTTTTATGAAATGACACTAAGAATTTCAGGCTCACTATATGTTACTTCCAATACCTTTTTTTCTGAAATTTCTTACTTGTTCCTTGTCCTCAAAGATATGGTTGCCTCTCCAACTGCTTCTGTCAGTGCCATGGGGAGTACTATGAAATCCAAACTAGACAAGTACTGGGGTGATCCTGAAAAGATGAACTATCTAATCTTCTATGCTAATGTCTTAGATCCTAGGGACAAGTTTGAGTATATGCCATTTCAGCTAAATGCTTTATATGGTGATAAAAAAGGTGCTACTTTTTTTCTAAAACTGAAGTCAGGTCTAACTGAGTTATTTGTTGATTATGTTTCAAAATACCCTGACTGTGTTGGTGGAAGTTCTAATACAACTTTTACTTCTGGAGCATCTATGCAGTGTGGTAATTCTGAAAATAGGCCTGTGTCCAGGTTTAAGGCTGATCTTAAAAAGAAGAAGCTTGAGAGTGGTCAGGTAGGAGTTAAAAAATCTGAACTTGATATATATTTAGCTGAGTCCATAATTGAGGAAGATGGGGACTTTGATATTCTAAGATGGTGGAAGTTAAATAGTGAAAGGTTTCCAATACTTTCTAAGATGGCTAGGGATGTACTTGGTGTTCCCATTTCCACAGTTGCTTCTGAGTCCACTTTCAGTACAAGTGGTAGGGTTTTGGACTGTTTTAGGAGTTCATTAAGTTGTAAAATTGTGGAAGCCCTTATATGTGCACAAGATTGGTTGAGAATGGCTCATCAGCCTATCTCAATTGAAGAAAACATTGATGAAGTAGAGAGGCTGGAAAAAGGTATAAGTTCAATGTATTTTCATGTATTATTTGCTTATTCTGAAGCTTATTGTTTAAATTTCAAAATTCTAACAATTCTGTTTGTTTGTTATAGAAATAATGGATGGAAATGTTGGTGGTGGAGATGTTGCTCCTACTGGATCCTCTATTGTGCCATTAAGTGTACAATTTCTATATTTATATTGTGCATTTGTGCCATTATGTGTTTGGTTTTCCATTTGAATGTGTATGAACATGAGTACATGACTCTATGATTTGGCATTGGCTATGATGAAGCTTACACTCATTACTGCATATAGGGTTTAGGGGTGGTATTGCTCTTTCAGTTCATAAAATGGTAAGTTGTAACTGAAATTGTAGCAGATGCCCCCTATTTCCCTTGTGAATGATAAAAAGCATTCTAAGCTCTATGAAATGTCTGGTTTGTTTCATTATGTGCTTGTTTTTCCATTTGAATGTGTATGAACATGAATACATGACTCTATGATTTGGCATTAGCTATGATGAAGCTTCCACTCATTACTGCATATAGGGTTTAGGGTTGGTATTGCTCTTTCAGTTCATAAAATGGTAAGTTGCAACTGAAATTGTAGCAGATGCCCCCTATTTCCCTTGTGAATGATAAAAAACATTCTGAGCTCTATGAAATGCCTGGTTTGTTTCATTATGTGCTTGTTTTTTCATTTGAATGTGTATGAACATGAATACATGACTCTATGATTTGGCATTGGCTATGATGAAGCTTCCACTCATTACTGGTACTGCATATAGGGTTTAGGGTTGATATTGCTCTTTTAGTTCATGAATGGTAACTTGTAAGTTGTAACTGAAATGGTAGGCTATAACAGATGCCCCTTATTTCCCTTGTGAATGATAATAAGCATTCCGAGCTCTATGAAATGTCTGATTTGTGCCATTATATGCTTGTTTTTCCATTTGAATGTGTATGAACATGAGTACATTGCTATATGATTTGGTGTTGGACCTGCTGCCAATATGAGTATAATGTATTACACTATTATGCGCTTGTTACATTTGAATGAGCATGATTCTGTCATTCTGGAAAGCATGCACATGCTGCCAAGTGCCAACTATCCTTGGACCCTTGTACCTTGCTCTGATTTGCAGGTTTTGTGTAAGTATCTCATAATCCCATTAATCCTTTACTCTATCATTTCTATTAATTTTCATTGGCTATGATGAAGCTTCCACACATTACTGAATGTATGGTTTAAGGTTGGTATAGCTCTTTCAGTTCATAACATGTAATTAAGTTTTAACTGAAATTGTAGCAGTTGCCCCTATATTCCTTGTGAAGGATAACAAGCATTCTGAGTCAGTGAATCAATGATTTCTCTGATTTGTTTCATTAACTTATCCTTGTTAAGTTGTTATTGACATATTGTACTACTCTACTACATGTCTATTGCTTTCCATGTGTTCATTAACTTTCTTATGCAGGTGGAAACTTCAAACTGTGGAAGATAGTTGTGGAACTTCAAAGTCTTCAAGCATTTTTGCATTTTTGTGTACTTGACTAGTTGGAACTTTGTATGTTAATGATTAATGAACTGTGTAATTCAATAATCTGTATTTTGTAATATGCTAAAACTCTTTGTTACAATTTTGATCCCCCCTACTCTTTACTTTGTAATATTCACATTATGTATGGCCGTATGGGAATCAAATTATGTTTTGCAATTGTAATATTTTAGATTTACTGGTGTTGAAATTACAAATCATTTTGCAATTTCAAATTATTTTAGTTGAAACTTAAAACCAACTAAACCCGATACCTGATCCGAACCCGCCCTACCCGAAATACAATAAAACCTGAAAATATCTAAGTAAAAAACCATAGGGTAGGATATCCATATTACACATCCGAAACCCGAAAGGGTATTGGGTTCACCCACCCGCCTGACCCGAACCCACCCGATGCTCACCCCTACGTACGTCATATGAAGGACCATGCTTTGACGCCGTCTGAGGATGAGGACGGCGTTGGACGCACGTCCCTTGATGGTGAAGGCGTTGATGAAGCACTTCGCCGTGTAAACTCAAGGCTCTCGGCACTGAGGAGGCCGACCTTGAGATAAATAATCACGCCGAGGCCGAGGGACCGAGCGTGGTTTGAGGATGACGGCGATCATGACACTGCTCTAAATAAAAGATGATGAGGCATTGATGAAGCCATTCATCATGTAAGCTCAAGGCTCTCGGCGCTGAGGATGCCAGTCTTGAGAAAGATGATCATGCTGAGGCCGAGGGGCCGTTCCTTTTGAGGACGATGAACGCCCGTCCCCTTATGACAACGGCGCTGGTGAAGTCGTTAGTCATATGAGAGACGATACTGGATGCGCGTCCTTTGATGACGACGGCGTTGATGAAGCCGTTCGTCATATGAAGGACCAGGTTCTGACCCTGGCTTGAAGATGAATGGCGGCGCTGGACGCACGTCCCTTGATGACGAAGGCATTGATGAAGCACTTCGCCGTGTAAACTCAAGGCTCTCGGCGCTGAGGAGTCCGGCCTTGAGATAAATAATCACGCCGAGGCCGAGGGACCGGGCGTGGTTTGAGGATGACGGCGATGATGAAGCCGGTCTAAATAAATGATGACGAGGCATTTGATGAAGTCGTTCGTCATGTAAGCTCAAGGCTCTCGGTGCTGAGGATGCCAGCCTTAAGATAAAGGATCTGTTGGTCCCGGTTATACTGGATACAGTCTAGAGGGGGGGTGAATAGACTGTATTGGTTTTTAGCTTTTTAATCTAAGTACCAGATTTACAGAATAGCCTGTTCTGTTGAAAGAACAGACTGGCAGCGGATGGGGTTCTGATAGGGAGTTCTGTTAGCCTCAGAGAAGCAAAGGCAGTAGGCCTTCTGTTAACTCGTAGAACAAGTTCTGCTGAACACAGATACCAAGTCCAAGGAGTTAGACAGTTCTATCTAAGTGCAAGTATTAAAGCAGTAAGTAAACGACACCAGGGATTTTTATAGTGGTTCAAGGAACAACTTGTTCCTCTAGTCCACTATTCCACTAAGCTGTAAAAACTGCCGTTTACAAAGCCTTAGTCCTAGTACTTAAGAAGCTCTCCACGTCTTCTTCAAGTCTAGATGTCTCCTGGGATGCACTGCCTGGCTTCCTTTAAGACTGGTCCTTTCACTGAGCTTCCTGGAAGTATCACCACTTCACTACTCCAGTTACTTGGACGTCCTTCTTGTAGCAAGAAGAGTTTCTGTTGAAACAGGGGTTCCTCCAACTAGCTTCATTACAAAAGATTTGTATGTGATGAGCTTGAAGAGTTGAAGAACACTTGGAACTTTGCTTGAGTTGGAAAAAGTATTTTTCCAACTTCTGCCTTCTCTCGTAGAAGATAATGAGTTTGAATCTCAAGGAGGCTTTTTGCTTCTTCAGAGTTTGAATATCTTGTTTTTTGCAATGATTAGCAAAAGTTGCAAAGTTATCTTGGCAAAGTTATCCGGTTGTTCTTCGTAGTGTATCTTTTATACTGAGGTTGTCTTCCCGTTGGAGGAGTAGGAGGACAACTGCATTTCATGCGCGAGCAGTTGACTTGACCAGTAGGACCCGGTAAAGTTGGCGGGTTACTATTTTGGGATAAAGTAATCCTGACATTGGGGCCAATCATCTGCAATTACTCCACGGAGCATGGGGAGCATTAAATGAGCATTTAATGCGAGCACTGTAGCTTTTCCGTTTTATACTCCTAGCCGTTGAGGGAATCTTTTAGTTGACTTCCCGGCTTTGTGGATTTCTTCCAAGTGTCAGACCTTCTGGTGTCTTTGGCAGAGAACTAATCAGAGAAGATCTTGAGCACTTCTGTTGATAGTAGCTTACAGAGAACCAAGAGGGTTTCTGTCAAGCTAAAGGGTAACAGAGACCCTGAGGTTTTCTGTTCCTAGACAGAGAACCAAAATCTTCTGTCCGGAGGTCTTCTGGTAGAGAGGCCTTCTGGTAGTCGATTATGCTAAGAACTTTACAAGGGAAAATTCTAATACATAATTTCTAAAAGGGGTACTCTAAAGTCCTAATTAATATAGCATCATCAAAATCTAAATACAATTATTCCTTACAATTTCCCCCTTTTTGATGATGCCAAAACCCTTTAACTATTTCCAGAGAAGTGCCTTCACCATAAAAATTTAAAGTTTTAGAACTTTTCATTAAAATCTTGGTGGGCAACTTGGCATAGGAAAATAGTAAGAGTGCGGTACATTCAGATAGCAGTTCAAAAAGAAATAAGTACAGAATAAAACAGTAAGCAACAAAGAGTAAAGAAGCAAAGAGACTTTAGAAGGAGCAGAGATAAGCTTTTATTAGATCAAGAGTTTTAAGAGAAGTTTAAAAGGAATTACAGATTTTCCCTTTCAGCTTCAGCTCTGGTTCTGCGATCTTGTTCTTTCAGATTCTTAAGTTCAGCATTCACTTCTTCTCTTATGCCAGCCAAATTTCCTGGTGCTTGACAGGAGGCCCAAATGGGAGAGAGCTTGCAATTCAGATAGTGAAGTACTCCCTCATGTACATCCTTGCCTGGGAGTACTCTCTTGTGAAACCAATATTCAGCCTCTTCCAAGGAACCACCATGTCTGACCCTTATATGACCGTCTCTGTCAAGATAGAGATTCTGTCTTTGAGTAGGGGTCATCTTCTGTTGTATTTCTTCAAACTGTGCTCTGTCAATCTTTTGAGAGCCTCCAAGTCTCCACTCAATTAAGCTCAAGGGTTTCTTCTTCTTGGTAGAACCTCTGCGAGGAGAAGAAGGTCTTGAAGTACCAGCTTCTCTCTTCTTCTGTTGGAAGGCCTGGAAGTAAGGGGTTGGATCAATATCAGATGAGGGTCCAGCAGTTGGCCTAGGGGGCAATTTCTTCTGTTGGGGGTCCTTTTCCTTTTCCCCCTTTTTGGCATCATCCAGGTCAGAGATCATCATAGCAATCTTCTGGAACTCTGTTGCCTGGGAGATGGCAATCTGCTCAAGAGTTTCTGGTAAGGTCTGCGTGACAGAGGTCAGACCTTCTATCAAGTGCTGTTGACGATCAAGAGCAGACTTGATGTCCTGAGAGCTAGCTTCAAGTAGTATCAGCTTCTGATATCTTTCTTGATCCTTCTTGATCAGGTTGGCCACTTGATCTTTGTGATCATTGTTTAAGAGTTATAGCTGCATAAACTTCTCAGCAGATTGGTCTTCATACCATTGTACAATGTCAAGGGATTCTGTGATATCCTTGAGTTGTTTATTCTGCTTGTTGAAAGTCTGAGATTGCGAGTAGAGAACAGAGTGGACACCATCAACTTCTCTGGCAACAGCATTAAGTTTTGCAGATGATGATTCCATGAAGGTGACCAGTGTCTGAGTCAGTGCTTCAACCTTCTCAGAGATATGCTGAAGTCCAGCCTCAAGATGATTATGAACAAAGGTGATATGTTCATGGTGCTTAGTGTTGATCTCAGCCAGTTGATCCATTCCATCAAGCACTTTAACACCAAATTCCTCAGCTGCAGTGACAAACTGATTGAAGGAGATTTGGGGCTTAGCTTCTTTGGATTCTGTGTACCCAGGCATACCTAGACCTCTTGATTTAGGCATAGGAGGCCTTCTGGGTTGTTCTTCATTCAGGGGAGGGGTCTTCCTCCTTTTGGAAGTAAGGTCAGCAGCTATTGAGGAGGTGAGGAACCCATCATTATCACTAGAAGATGAGTGAACCTTGAAGATAGGTTCCTTGATGGGGGTAGGAGCCACAGAGTGTTGAGGGGAAAGAGGAATGGCTGCATCTTGTGGTGCAGGCTTTGGAGAAGCAGTTCTGGATATCTTGTTGGAGGGGTTTACCTGTTGATGCGAGGGAGCATTCTGTTGTTGTGGAGGAGAGGGTGGAGGTGATGGTGATCTGGATCTGATTGAGGGTTGGGATTTGCAGGGAGAAGGGTTTTTGGTTTTGGGTGAAGAGGTTTTCTGTTGGGGTGTTGTTGTTGAAGAGATGATCTGTTGGTGTTGGTATTGGATAATTTGTCCTTGAGGGGATGGTGATCTGTTCTTTGGAGGAGAGAACGGTTTGCAGGGCGAAGGGGATGAAGATTTGGGGGTGGAGGGTTCCTGGTGTGTAGGGGTTTTCTGTGCAGAGATGGTTTTCTGTGAGGGTGAGGGGGATTTCTGTTGGGGTTGGGGAGAAGTGCCTTTAGGAGAGGGAGGGGGAGAAGGAATGATTGGGGGAATTACCTCTAGTATAGTTTCTGTGAACAGAGAATCTCTCCATTCTTTGACAAGCCTTTCCATGACCAGGGGTAGATCATTTGCAGTAGAGGGTTCACCTTCTCCATGTGCACTGTGGCGAAACTTGATCATTGACTCCTTCCTTTTCTTCTCAACTAACCAAGCATCAAAGTCATTCATCTCATGCTCTTGAAGAGCCTTCACATGGTCTTCTGGTGAGTTTCTGAACAGAGGTGCTTTTCCTTGAAGTTTCTCCTTCTTCTTCTGTAGAACAGAAAGAAGAAAATCCTTGTTCAGGCATGACTCCACATCTTCTGTGTCAGCCCATCTGAGTACTTCTTCTTCTTCAGATATGAAGTGGGACATGTTCTTCAGTAGCTCAGTGAGAGGTCCCACTCTCCACTTTCTCCATGTCAGAACCCTGATGAATTCCCTATCAGGAGTGG